ATCTGAAATATATTCAGGTTTGTATATCTTTTTGGTAATAAACAATTTCAACACATTATAGGGATCTCTCAAATGGCTGTGACAAATATTTCCTCTCTAATCTGGCCTGATTTGCTCCTAGAAACTTTAGGCAAACCGTGCCCTGAAGGGAAAACTTCACTCTGTACTTCTGGGCCACAAATAAGCAAATCAGAGCAGTGCCCAGCCATATTATACGCTCACATTCAGAACTGCACTTCGTGGTCAAATGCTTGGTAAAGCTTCCCAAATCAGTATCATGTTTCCCAACACAGCTTTAAAATGCAAGTTAAGAGACGAAGAAACAGACTTTTTAGTTTCATACCTGCCCATCCTAAAGAGAATTTTAACAATGTTAGTACAGATGCAGACTAATCAAATCAGGCTGTTGGCAGTGTTAGTTTACTACTCTTCTTAACTTCCTCTGCACTAACTAGTGCATTCAAATGACAGCAGCGTTTGTCTGCTTTGCATGTTTGCAGCATATTAGATCAGCTTTCATCGCCATAAACTCATCTGTGACAAATTATCGACCGTTTAGTTTCTGCAAGCTGATTTGGCCCAATACTGATGTCAAGTTGTAGAACTTTTTGATCTCTTAAGTTTCAAATAATTAAAAAAATCCTCAGTTTTAAATTAAATTTGCATAATGCAATTTACAGATGGAGTTTAAAACTCTAAACCAAAGTTATTTACAATAGTACCCAATATCAAGAGGTAATGTTGTACTCGGCCACTCTGTCTATGAATCTGTCTCTAGTTTGCTTGTTCGGTTTGTTCATTAGATTCCACAAATGAGTGAAATCATATAGTACTTGTCTGTCTCTGAAAAAAAAAGAAAAAGGAGAAAGAACTCATGGACATGGTCAACAGCGTGGTGTTTGCCGGGGTGAGGAGGGTGGGTGGAGGTGGCAGAGAGTGTAGGAGGATAATAGTAATAGAAAAATGCAATAGAAGCCCTGGCTGGTGTAGCTCAGTGGATTGAGCTCAGGCCTGCTAACCAGACATTCGCGGTTCGATTCCCAGTCAGGGCACATTCCTGGGTTGCAGGCCAGTTCCCTGCAGGCCAATTCCCAGCAGGGGACTCATGAAAGGCAACCATACATTGATGTTTCTCTCCCTCTCTCCTTCCCTTCCCCTCTAAAGATAAATAAATAAAAATTTTAAAAATGCAATAGAAATAGTTTTAAAAGAGGTAATGCTGTAAAGTGAAGCTCAAAATTTGTACCTCCAAATATTTTTACTATGTAATGGAGATTCTCACTTCAACCTTGTAAGTAATAAATTTATAATGAATTTAAAATCAATGTATTTTAAACATCATGTTAGTAGTTAGATTGGTGAAGACTATTACAGAATAAGTACACTAATGAGTAATAAATCAACCATCTCTGTAGATGTGTGAATTAAGCACAGCAAATCCAGGTATAAAAATAATTTTGATGTGTAACTATTTCTAGGTTCAAGAACTGTGGTTCACTTAGTTTAAATGCTTGTGAGGTTCACTTAAAAATAGATGTTTTATTAGTATTAAGTACCATGTATTGAATCATCCTTATTTGCAGGTTTGGGTGAAATTTTGCCCAAAATTTACCCCATAGGGACCTCCCAACAACCCTTTGCAAGGGTGTCACTGTTATTCCCATTTTGCAGATGTGGAGGTTGAGAGTTAGCGATGCTAAATAGCTAACCAGGTGTTACATTACCCTGAGATGTCAGAACTGAGATTCAAAACCAGGTCCATTAGATAACAAGTACACGTTTACTAATCAGTGTATTAGACTAATGGTCCTAAGAGTATAATCTTTAGACAATGTAAAAATGCAGGCGTCTTAACATTTGTGAGTAGGTTAAACTACAGCTCACTGCCGTTGCTGAATTTTGTGAGTTTCGTTCCATAGGAAAATACAAGCGAATACATATGCAATGCCTCCTTTCCCTGCCACAGAGCATTTGCCTTTGAAGTCGCCGCTCAGCTAGTTGGGATCTTAGAAGAGCATTTAGCAAAAGTTAAAATGTAATGCCAAACTTCATTGGCTGGATTTTTTATTAGATAAGGTAGAAATGAAAGCAGCAGGCAATTTAATTAGCAGTAATTTTTCTGGGCAAGTCATTACTTTGATGAACTTCAGAGCAATGTTTATGGCTCCTAATTAACCATGTTAGTCATTTGATTGAATAATCACTTTGGAAATGTTTCTACAATTTGATTAGAGTCTGACCTACTCTGACAGTCATAAATTAACTGATATCACTTTAGGATAACATGACTTTAGTTACTTTGGGGGAATAAAGTCCTCTTAGCCATAATTTTACAGGCTTCTCTGGACCATATTAAAGACACTGATTTTAAAGATAGACTGAATTTCAATAATGCCAGCCAGGCATCTCAATTTTAAGAGCTATATGTTAATTTTATTCATTCTAGGGTATAATAAATAGTATCAAGAATTGGCAAAAACACAATTATATTCTTAAGAATTTTTTTCCTAAGCTGCCATTCAGTGTTCTTTTTTGTTTGTTTTGGGGTTTTTTTTTGAGATTATATCATAAGTTGGGCCTTTGGAAATGTATTAGAGGCTTTGGTTTTAGCCTTATTTATAAGTCGTTAATTTAATATATACTAAAAAGTATACTTTAAATATTATAGGTGAATAAATATTACAGAGTAAGTAAAGCAGAATCAAGAAAGCAGCCAATTATATGAGTATCAATGAAGTTATGGATCACATTTTATCTGATATTAAATGTCTAGTTTTACAGGATTATACTTATATTATGTTAGAGCACATTTATAAGATGTTCCTTCAACTTTGAATAATGTTTTTTTTTCCTGAAATACTTGTGTTTTTTTTCTATTTCCCTCTTTTCTCCTCCTGTGGGGAGGAAAGACTACGTTTAGTCACACACTTATATATAATAGAGTTGAGCCTATATGTTTTCCTCTAGTTGCCTGCAGAGCCAGCCAGCTGTTTTTGCAGCCACACTCCAGCTGGGTAGCGTCAGTAAAAGTATTTTGTGGCGGAGTGTCAACATTGGTACAACAAAATGCTTTCCTCTAAACAGCTGCTGAGCTGATGGCAATGTCTCTAACACTGTCCCTTCCAAACCCAGCTGCTTTGAGGGACTTTGTGACTGGCAGTAAATCAAAATAACATTAAAAATTACATTGAAGTATCATTGGGTAAAAAGTTGGGATAAAATACATTGCTATTTAGTAACCCGGATCAACTACATTGCCACCCTGTTATAAGTCTGACATCAGGAGACAAGCCTCTGCCTTTTGTGGGGTCAGAATTGCATACTACATAATACTTTGTATGAAGAAGTCATGGTGTAATACAATGTTTGATAAGGAGTTTGTTTGTTTTACTGTTTTCAAGTAGCGAGCTATTGACTCCTATATACTTTTAAATGTTATTGTTGTGGATTGTCCCCAATTTTTTTTGACTAAAACCACATTTGCTAACCTTTTTTACTTCAGAAAAAAAAGTGCCTTGTAATTTGGTTGACACTCATCAACACACAAATTTAAAACTAAATGAAATAGTTTTTAAAAATGGAACATTCCAAAGCAGTGAAGGATGAGACTAGGGCCAAATGGTGCTAATTATCTATGGCATGGAAGTCTTTGGATGGATAGTTAAAAGGAGAGGAGGGTCTCCAGATTCCCATTCATCTAAATGCTCGTTATCGTGAGGCCCCGTGCTCACTATGGTGGTAGAAAAGAGGACATATTCTTATATTAAATAGCACACTTGCCATGTGCATTTTATAAATTTATTTTTCCTATGTTGTCTAAAACGATGTTAGTAATACCTACTGAAGATAGAATTAACTCGATCACATGTATTTATACCTTCCTATAGAAGCTATATATGTGATACCCAGTGTTGGGCCCAGGTCTGTGGGACCTAAAACTTATAAAATTTGGGGAACCTTCTTAAAGGAAAAGAAAATGAAACTGCATATACAGAAGTTAGATTTCATGGCTCAGAAGAGACAGACTGTGGAAAATACAGAGTCCCAAAGTTTAAAACTTCATCGGTTTCATCTGAATCCACCTCTGATGATGTAAAGTGAACTTTTAGATTCAGAATCAAAGAACTTGACACTCTAATAGAGTTTAGGTAACATCTGACTCAACCCTGTATTTTATAGAAAGATCAACACAAAATAGTGTGCCTACAATGTACAACTTAATTAGCAGTAAATGAAGGACTTGAATTTTAATCTGTTTTGTAATCCATATATCTTTTCTTTTCTCCATATCAAAGCTGGTAAACATATTAAATACACAGCTATCACTATGACTCAAGTTTAACCATTAACCAAGTTTATTTTCTCAGTGATGAGTTCGTCACATAGATAACACCTTACTCTTAGAGTAATAATGATGTTTGCTATGAAACTGTTGGGTTTCAGCTTTATAGCCTTCCCAGTTTGAACAGGACCTTCCCAGTTTAACAAAATGAAAAGCCAGTCATGCTTTTATCTGGGGAGAAAAAAAATAGCAGTAGCCCTAAAGGACTGGAGTAATTTTAAAAGATTTAGCAGTTTTCATCTTTTCATAGTAATTTCTCTCTAGTGGTCATGAAATAAGCTAGGAATTAGTTTTTGTTGACTCTTGCCATGGGATAATACACATTTAGTCCATAAGTGGCCAGAAACATATTTTGACTCATGACAGGGTTTTCAAGGACAGCGTCGTATTTACGTGGGATTGCAGGTCGAGCCAGCCTGCGGGAAGATTCATGTGATGCAACTTTGAATTCCCAAACCTGCTCAAGAGAATCGGCTCAACACCCTTCCATTCCCTGTGTGTGGGGGCCCTGCCTGCAATGGTCACCGGGCTGACGAGGTCCCCTCATGCAGATGTTGTGTGGCTTTCTGTTACTGTCTTATCTGCACTCTGCCCGCGGTTAACAGTGCATTTTCAGCTGCCTCCCTCCGTGACCTTCTCTTCCTTTCTCCTCTTTCAGAAGTGCCTAGCTGCCACTCCATTTACATGAGGCAAGAAGGCTTCCTGGCTCATCCCGGCAGAACAGAAGTTAAGTTTTCGGTTATTGAATCCTTTGGTAAATACTTGTCAGAATCATCAGACATCCCAAGGAGGCAATCAATTAATCATTGTATTTTATGAGAAAAATACTGATGTTCCCATAACCATTATTTTTTAAAATTTTATCTTTTTAGAGTAAAATGAACATTTTTCAGGTCAGAATATCATGTATTTGGTTAGCATGAGTCATGTGCATATAAATAGCTGAAAAGTGGATTTCTGTGTTCCTTTTTTTTTTTGCCAATAACCACATCCTTTCTAAACAGAACATGTGCTTTATAGATTACCCCACATTTACTGCTCTGTATCGAAATCTATAATCAAGGAATTTTCAGTTTTGCTTTACAGACCTAAGTCAGTAGATTTCAGTGTATAGGGGTGGGCAAAAGTAGGTTTGTAGTTCATATGGAAATAACACAAATAAATGATACAATAATTAATATATGTAATAATATACTTATTAATAAATAATACAGAAATAAACTGTATATTTCATATCCTCGTGACTGTAAACCTACTTTTATCCACCCCTCTATTTGCTTTAAAATATCCTGGACCTTCCAATTTTGGACAGTAGTTAAGAATAGAAATTCACGGAAGAGGACTAGAGAAGGGGTTTTATCGTAGGTGTGTTTATGGTAAACATGGTGGGAAAGCTTTGACCCAAGGGCTTCAACATGGGCAAAGAAAAGAATATAAATGATTTTAATCTGGATATTATCCACATTAAAGTATTTCTGGAAATTTGTACATGGTTCTTGATGTAAATGATGCATGTATTTTCAGCGAGATGACTTAGATGCATCCTTTTAGGTTCGGTCTAATACTGGTTGTTCTGTATAAATGATATTAATAGAAGTAAATCCCTGTGTTTAAAAGATAGTTATATTGAGCTTGTAGATCCAAAATACTTGAGCCCAAAAAGTCTGCACAAATGCAATGCAGTTATTGTTGCTACTGTTGTTAAAATTATGTACCCTCAATAGAGACCAGTGCATTTGAGAAATAGAATCGTGACTGTGACATTTTTCCCTGGAGATTAAAGACAACAATTAAATAAAGGTCCTCAGCCAAGGATATTTGGAGGAGAAAATGATTGTGTAAAGCTGTCAGTTTATTTTGCACTTTTTTCTGTGGTACAACAAAAAAGGGAAGTTTAAGAAAAAAAATTTTAAACTACCTTGGCTCTTGACAATGAAAACACAAGAATACTAGCTTAGATACTTCTCCAAGGAAGTAAGGGGTTAGACCAAATCTGTTCCAGTTTACCAGGGCAGTAATGCCTGGTAAATATCAGCAACTCAGTTTGATTCCCTCTGGTCTCATTGCATCACAAAACCTTGGAAGAAAACAGGAAAGGAAGTGGTATGTTCTAAATCCTAAGTTTGTTGGGTTTATGTGAGCTTTGTGCTTGGGTTAGTAATAATATTAATAGCCAACTCTCATGTATCATGGTATGTTAGGCACTATTCTAAACTTATATATATTAAGTCATTTAATCCTGACAACATACCTATAAGGTGGATGGTTTATTGTTATTCCCATTTTATAGATGAGAAAACCGAGGCACAGGAGTTAAATAACATGTCCAAGGTCACAGAGCTGAAAAAATGGCAGTTATTTTCTACCTTAATTTTTGTGTTAACAATTCCATTTTAAACTGTTGGTGAGCTTCATTTCAATTGTGATTAAAGGTATCTCATCTTCTCCCACAGGCTGTATGTTTGAAAAGGGCCCCCGGCATTTTTATGATGACACCTGCGTTGTCCCAGAGAAATTTGATGGTAGGTTTTTCTACTGTGTTCGAAGTTGTAATTTTTGTGGTGGGAGCACAGAGATCACTCTGGTCCCTCCAGAAAACTGGCAACATTCCTACTTAAAGATTTACATGCATGTCATTTACGATGCACTCAACTCTTTCTAAACTTCACCTTTTATAAATTCTTTCCTTCCTCGATTAAAAAGCCTTTTCTTCTGTCCCCTAAGAGATCTCATTTTTAGAGGTATCACTAGAGTGTCTTTCTTGTTGAGCCTTGTGTAGTGTAAGAGGGGGCTTTCCATTGCCCCGCTGAGCTCGTGTGGCTTGTTTGCGATTTATTGAAAGCCGATCCCATAATTAACAAAGCAGAACAGAAAGCACACTACTGTGGATGTGCGGATGACTAACGCAGCTTCTTTCCTCTTACTGTTCATGAAAAGATGCATTGTGGAACATGGGACCAACATAGCTGCCGTTTGGTTAGTGACTGTTAGTCTTTTTTGGTTTTTCTCAGGGAAGATGTTCTTTACCGATGTGGCATTGCTTTGTAACTGTCTGAAAGGGAGTTGGGAAACCATTACCTTTTTATTATCACTCCCTGTTGCAGTGAGAGGTCTCAGACGTTAGAAAGGGGTGTTACAATCTTCTTTTCTTGACAAGGGTGGTAGAAGTCGGCATCTAGAGAAAGCTTGGGTGAATGCTGAACAGTCAATTGATTTAGTGCTTCTTCAGAATGGCCTCCATGTTTCCTGCTTTGATTGTTTAACAGGAAACGAGCTGGGGGGGCTTCTGATTAGCCGATGGCACAAACTTTGGGGATCATGGTTCTAATGACTTTGTGGCTCTCAGAAGTTTTTAATTGTCATCATTTAAACAGCAAAGTCATGCTCATGTTGCTTCTCAATCTCCAATTAGTGGCTTGTAGACTCCCCTCTTCTCCAGGTTTTTGCTAGTCTTATGCTGCTCAGAAGGGATGCTAAGCCTTGGGAAGATCTGTTTCCTCTGCCTTCCTTTAAGTTGCTAAATTCATTCAAGGTCATGGGGTTAACACTCTAATAGGGGACTTTTTGTAGCTTTATTTTACAATAGATGTTAGTTTTCAGCTTTGAGTCTCAGAGGCATGATCTGTGTTATTTTTAACCATTAGTAGAGCATCGCAATTCTTAAAATACAACCTTTTCTCTTGAGACAAAACATAAAGCCTTTACTTCCTGGAATGACCTTTATAGTTTCATTCAGTACTAGTGAGCCTAACATTTGAAGAAATCTTGGTAATCAGTATGGGCATATAAGGAAGAAAAATAGCTCAAAACCGTAGATAGGATTATGCTCTCTTACAGGCCAATGTCATATAGTGTTAAGGGTCCCTAAGTGTCTTGATTATTCCCTTTGACTTTTCAATATTCTTCAATATTATACCAAAAAACCACATTTTTGGAAGATAGTGAGAGTATATATTTTATAGGGAATAGAGAACAAGAACAAAGAATAACAGAAGGTTATATTTTCATTGTACAAGGCCAGGACGATCAGTCACATTTATAGGCAGAATCATTCTAGATATTATAAAATTTGACAGGGTGTCACTCTGTCTGCATAATTACTCAAAATTTTCACAATTGTCCCCTGCCCCCATGAAAAATGTGTAAATCTTAGAAGGAAAAACTGTTAAATAAAACTGTCATTGAAATCAATATGAAGAAACACTTCTGTATGATCTAGCTTAGACCAAAACAACATGATCTTTAGCAGTTACTGACAATAATTTTACTTTGGTTTAGATTTTTAAAGTGCAGGTAATTAAAGTCCATAATTATTTTAAGGGTGTATCTCTGTAGTGACCAAAGGAAAGGTTTTTAGAAAGCTTGTGATTTGGTCTGTTTTATTGGTCTGCTTTATAATTCACACATAGTGTGCGTAAATGACCTTGAATATATTGTTTCTGAATTGTTTACTTAGTGGAGGAGAGAAATTTGTGCATTAACAATGATACTGATGGGGTCTGCAATATAGCCACTTCCACGTATTTTGAAGAAAGTAAGCAGGAGATACAAGTAAATAGTCAGTAGTCTTGAACTGAGTTTTCATTTGCTTGTTTGTTTATTTGTTTTTGATCTTGGTTTTTGTTAAATGGAGATATCTGACCAGATATATACCAGAAACATTTCAACAGTAGCATCTTTATGGCTGTAATCTCTTTAATTGATTATTACACTATATATGAATGTCAAGTAAATGTAACAAACCAGTCTTGCTTGGAGATAATTGTACTCGAACAACAATTTAAAATTTTTAAAATATATGTAAATTTACCCAGAAGCTCTGGTGTTTACATTTTTTATTGGACTTTTAGTAGACGCTTAGCAAGTTATATTTGAGTGAGTGAAACGAAAGAAGTAAAAAAAAACTACGAAAGAATTTTCATTTGCTGCCAGTTGAAAAAATGGTAGCGCCAGTATGAAGGTGTACGGGAAAGATGGTATGGTGGTGATTTACATGCCCTGAGTGGCCCCTGAGGTTTTCCTAATTTATGTAAAGTACAGATAACTTAACTCAGAGTTTAAGATGCTATTCAATTTGCTTTAACATATTTGCCTTAAAATATGCAAGTTTTGCATGTGCAGCTCACTGAGATATTCACAAATTATAGTTTGCAGAATTTAATTTCTACTAATAAAATGCCTAGAGTTTAAAATGGATTCCTCTGTCTTCAGTGTTGCTCAGAACAGCAAGTAATGATATTAACAGTAAAAGCAAAGAAGTGTGATTAGGTGCTATGGTTTTTGAAATCGCTGAAAAAATAACATTATAAATTTTGTTTAAGTAAATGACATTCATGGGTTTATTCTGCACTTATATGCATTTCTTTTACCTTTATGTGTTATATATAATGGTGTGTACGTTTGAACAGATTTCTGTTTTTTATTCAACCCCCTGTTTTATTTTATTTTTTTAATTTATTTTTTTATTGATTATGCTGTTACAGTTGTTCTATTCCCCCCCTTCATTCCCCTCCACCCTACCCCCCTGTTCCCACCATTACCCCCCCTTTAATTTATGACCATGTGTCTCAAGTTCTTTAGATTCTATATTTCCCATACTATTCTTGCCCCCCCATCTATTTTCTATCTACTGTCTATGCTACTTATTTTCTGTACTTTCTCCCCCCTCTCCTCCTCCCACTCCCCTGTTGCTAACCCTCCATGTGATCTTCATTTCTGTGGTTCCGCTCCTGATCTACCTGTCCTTTTAGTTTGCTTTTGTTTTAGGTGTGGTTGTTAATAACTGTGAGTTTGCTGTCCTTTCACTGTTCATGTTTTTTTAACTTCTTTTTCTTAGATAAGTCCCTTTAACATTTCATATAATAAGGGCTTGGTGATGATGAACTCCTTGAATTTGGTCTTATCTGAGAAGCACTTTATCTGTCCTTCCATTCTAAATGAAAGTTTTGCTGGATAGAGCAATCTTGGATGTAAGTCTTTGCTTTTCATGACTTGGAATACTCCTTTCCAGCCCCTTCTTGCCTGTAAGGTCTCTTTTGAGAAATCTGCTGACAGTCTGATGGGGACTCCCTTGTAGGTGACTGTCCCCTTAACTCTTGCTGCTTCTAGGATTCTCTCCTTCATTTTAATCTCGGCTAATGTAATGATGATGTGCCTTGGTGTGTTTCTTCTTGGGTCCAACTTCTTTGGGACTCTCTGAGCTTCCTGGATTTCCTGGAAGTCTATTTCCTTTGCCAGATTGGGGAAATTCTCCTTTATTATTTGTTCAAATAAGTTTTCCACTGGTGGCTGTTCCTTTCCCCCTTCTGGTACCCCTGTAATTTGGATGGTGGAGTGTTTAAAGATGTCCTGGAGGTTCCTAAGACTCTCCTCATTTTTTTTGAATTCTTGCTTCTTGACTCTTTTCTGTTTGGCCATTATTTGCTTTCTTCTGGTCCACTCCATTGATTTGAGTCCCAGTTTCCTTTTCATCGCTATTGGTTTCCTATGCAATTGCATTCATTTCAATTAGTTTCACCTTCATATGTTTGTCTAATTTGTGGCTATAATCAACCAGTTCTGTGAGGATCCTGATCACCAGTGTTTTAAACTGTGCGTCTGAGAGTTTTGCTATTTCTTCATTGCTTAGATTTATAGGCTCTGGGGCTTTGAGATCTTCTTGAGCCATTTTTGGTCTGTTTGCGCCCATTAAGTCTGAGGAGCGGAGCCTTGGACTCCCAGGTCTCTGGGTTGTGACTCTGTATGTGGAGGCAGGGTCAGAGCGGGGAAATGGCAGTGCCCTCTGCCGCCGCTAGCCACTGGGGCTGCTGGCTCTCGTCCAATTGCCCACTCCCTCGCTTGTCTATCCACACACGAATGTGCGACCACAGTCAACCCGCAGCCCTGCTCCCTCGCTGTTTCCCCGCGGTTGCTGGCTGAGTTGCCCACCAGGTCCAACCCTGCGCCTGGATTCTGCGTGCCTGAGTTCGTCTGACCGAGTTTTTCTGTGCTACCCCGCTCTGCCAGCTGCAGGTTTCTCCCCTCTTACCGGTCAGGCTGAAGAATTTGTTGTTATCAGGCTTCCGAAAAGTTCAATTTTCTGTGTTCTGGCTGTGTTTTCTGTTGCTATTATTTAGTTGTCTCTAAACTTGGTTGTGTGAGGAAACACGGCGTCTCCACCTATGCCTCCATCTTGGCAGAAGTCCCCCCCCTAAGTGTTTTAAATCCATATCTAGTGGTAACATTTTTCATAAAGCACTTGTGGTTTAACCATTTAACATTGGTTTGGTGTAAATTTATATAAATATTATGTTGCTGATAATTGAAACTTGATTTTTTTTTTTTTAATTTAGGAGACATCAAACAAGAGCCAGGAATGTATCGGGAGGGACCCACCTACCAGCGGCGGGGGTCACTTCAGCTCTGGCAGTTTCTGGTAGCTCTTCTGGATGACCCCTCGAATTCTCATTTCATTGCCTGGACTGGGCGAGGCATGGAATTTAAACTGATTGAGCCTGAAGAGGTGGGTTTAGTAGATTTGGGTTAGGAAAATCAGATATGTCATAGTATAAAGAAACATATGTGACTAATAGGCCAAATATGTGGCTTTAAAAATTTTAAAACTTTAGGGAAACCCTCCAATTTGAAGGTGGGTGGATGGGGGGAAGCATGTACACATTTAAAATAAAATGAGTATGTTGCATGCTTGTTCCAGTTTCATACTGTCCTTCAGAAGTGATGTTGGAAATCCACCAGAGTATCATTAAGTGTAAGCCTTTATTCAGGAACACAAGTCTTGGAAGTCTCTGAAGGAGCAACTAAGTTTGGGGTGTGAGATGGTCTTTAAGGGGTAGCGGGGACATCTGTAGGGTTCGTTTGAACTAGTTTGGGGTATGGAGGAATTTTTCTTGCAAATTGACAGTCATTATTTGGACAATCTTGATTTTATCAAGGGGGTTGGAAGTTTGTATTTGGAGACCAAAGTGTCTGTAATAGAGACCAGGGAAGAACAGCCATGCAAGGGCCACAGTGGGAAATTCCCACTTCTTAACTTTCTCTTAGGAGACACAGGTTTGGTGGGAACATTGTTTCCCTTTGCTTGTTGGTGACATCTGTTTCAAGTCAGCTGGGTGGCACACACTTCATTGGAAGGTAGGGATGAAGCTTAAAACTCACGGTAATGCATAAGAAATTAGCAAAGTGAGAGGACTCTGGATAGAGGTAATATGGGTAAATGGAACACACATTCAACTTACTGTTCAACTCTCTCCGCCTACCCACCGCCATACAAATGGAGTACTTTCCTTGAGAACCCAGTGCCTTCTTTTTTTCCAGGACTAAGTTTAGGCTTAACATTTATGTTGCTAGCATTTTGGAACCAATACAGAATGGGGACTGTTATATGAAATGTTTTCTTATTAGAGGTGCTTTCTCTGCTACCATTAAAATTGACTTTGGTTTTCATTAGCCAAGAGAGCAGGGAAAGACTTGCAGCTAACATACCTATTTAAGACTGATCATATTGACTAGATTCTAACCACCTCAGAAAAATAAAAAAAATTCAGTAAGATATCCAGCTGGAGCCTAAAATGACTAGTTTCGTATAGACTGGACACCTACAATCTAAGCTAATGGGCCTTACGATACCATGTATTCAGTCACAATGAGCTAATATGTTTGAATGTGAGAATTAGAAGATAAGGTCACATTGCTTATTAAGATTTAAAAGACAATCCGATTCAAATATGTATTAAGATCATAATGAGACAGAGGATCTGGTTAAGCACAATTAATTTTCCAATTCATAACTAGTGGCACTAGAGGGTTAGCTTAGCAACATTGTCCATGCCCCACACTAAGCACACACATATAAGAGGGCTCAGTATCAGAATCTGAAAGTATCACTTGTCTAGTATAGGCTAAATGTTTGGGTGTTTGAATTTCATACTGTGGCTAAAGCTCAATTTGTCAAAGGAAATTAGTATGTAGATGTAATTAAATGATGTAAGTGTAAAAACTGTTAAATGTGAAGCATTAACAAACTGAGACTGGGCACACTTAAAGTAAATTGAAAGCCCTTTAACATGATAGGAATATGTGCTCTTTACCTCATAAATGGTGTTAATAATCATTATGAGAGATGGTTCATGCTGCAACTGAGTATATTCAATAGAAATTTATATCAAATGGTATATATTTCCCTCCATGTGTGCTTAAAATAAAGTTGAGTAGAAACAGATTTTTAAATTTTTTCTATATATTTGTTAATTTAGGAGGAAATGTTGAATTATGTCAGTAATTATTAATCCATTCAGAAGAGTAAAAATTCTCTTTTTTAATGTTTTAAAATGTTTATTTATTTATTTTTAGAGAGAGGGGAAGGGAGGGAGAAAGAAGGAGAGAAACATCAATCTGTGGACTGGGCCCGCAACCCAGGCATGTGTCCTGACAGGGAACCGAACCTTTCGTTTTGCAGGCAGGCACTCAGTCCACTGAGCCATGCCAGGCTGAGCCAGAAGAGTAAAACTTCTCATGCAAGTGATTAACTTATTCATATAGCAGCTGTTGCCTTTTTTGATTGGGTTTAAATTAAGTAAAAACACTTGACCAGAAGACCATTAAGTTCCATCAAATTCTGAATTTCTGTGATTTTTCTTTTTCTTGCAAGAAAGAAATAGAACGACACCTGTTCCGTACAACAAACCAGCATTTAAGCACCTTGTCCGTAGCGCAGTCACAGGGTGTAAATGGGCCAGGGCATTCAGAGGCAGCAGGTCATTTCCAAATCTGAGCCGCCTGCACGGCAGCTGTGCTGTGAGCACTCCGTGTGTCCCCGAGCCTTTGTTGAAAATGTGACTTCCCATTCTGATGGCTGCATTCGTTCGCTGTTGCAATTGCTTCCATCGGGCCGTTCAGAGAGTGTTTGTGAAATTGTGCAGCCCGGGGGTCCTGTGTGCACCCTCTCCCTCTAGTGTGCAGCAGATTCTGGGGAGCGAGGCTCTGTCAGCACACTCGTGAACAGTGGCTGCTGGGACGACTCCCAGGTCCCGTTTCTTTATGTTTCTTCTTGCAGTTTAACATGATGCTGAGTGAGACTGCACACCCGCACTGACTGTCTGCTCAGTGTGTTTGGGAAACACCTGCGAGCACAAAATCCTCACCATCTCCCTTGTTGAGATGATTGAGATAATAAAACATTATTTTTGAATTAATCATGGATTCAAGCATAGTAGAGCAAAAAACGGTGGAGACGTTTTTGATGCTATTCAAATTTACTGAGGCGGAAGAGGCACCAAGAAGTCTGAGAGTAACACCCTGATTGTGGTTTCCATTACTGAGTGGCAGGCATGATTTTTAGAAGTAAATTGAATAACACTGGAACTCTTATATTTTCCTATTTAATTTATTTGACAATAAGAGTGAATGCTATAGTGCCATCATCTTTTCACTCTCCTAACAGCCAACACTTTCATTTGAAAGGAGTTTTATAAAGAAGTCACTGCAATTACTGCTACCTTCACACCCACTCCAAGTGGAAATGTTGCCCTGGCTTTCAGAGGTGTGGGTCGTGGCAGGGCTGAATGGCCTTTCTTCGTTGGTGGGTGGGCCAGCCTATCCTGGAAATGATTTACTGTGGAGAGAGCACTTCAACATGGGATCTACCCTCTTAACAGATTTTTTTTAATAAGAATTATTTTAAGATATTTTTAAGAGATTTTATTTATTTTTAGAGAGGGGGGAGGGATGGAGAAAGAGAGAGAAACATCAGTGTGAGAGACAACATCGGTTGGTTCTTCTCCAATGCACCCCAGGCGGGGGCTGAACCTGCACCCCAGGCATGAGGCCTGACCAGAAATGGAACTGGTGACCTTTCACTTTGCGGGATGACACCCAACTAACAGCCACGGCAGTCAGGACTCATGCCAGGCTTTTATATGTACAAAACAGTATTGTTAACTATCCACACTCTATTGCACAGCAGGTTTCTAGAACTTACCTATCTTGTATAACTTCTCTGTCTCTCATAGGCATATTGGTATGTCTTATTTTCCTCAACTTTATACAAACGTGACACTGAAAGAGCTCTAAAAATAAACTTTATTGTTTTAAAATGTTCACAAATACATGCAGTGCTGACACTTAACTGGTACCCTAACAGTTATACTCTGATTATAGTATTCAAAAAATCATCTTTCTCCCAGAGACTTCCACAATGTTAGCTTAAAGTTTGTTGCAAATATTTTATTTTCTGTGTGCATCCTGGTGAGTTTCTAGGAAGCAATCATTTTTATACAAACTAGTATCCAGAAATTGTTGCTTAATCTAAGGAGATATTAGCATTTCATTTTCACCTGCCCTCCAGGTTTGCATGCTGTGGAGTTGTCTCGCCTATTAAAGGTTTAATGATGTCCATTGTTAGGTTCTTAAAAGATATTTTATTCAGAAAGCATTGCCTTCATTTCTTATTGCCACCTTCCCATTTCACTACTGCTCAAATCATTTACATGGAAATAAAGTTTATCTTTGGAAAATTAGGATGTACCTGCCATTGTGACTGTCTGCTTGGATGTGTATAGCCCTGTCCCTGTTAAACCATATTTTGATACCCTTACAGAAAGTATACTGACAATGTGACTAGATTCCACTGTATCTTTTTTTAGGGAATCCAAATTAGTAAGAGAGGAAATAGCATGAGTCAGTATTTTTAAAAGAAAAAAAACAAACCCTGAAGTATGGTTATCACTAATAAAGTGCAGAGACAGAATGATCTCTCTAAAAAGTGTTGTATCTTAGTGTATGTGACATAGCGACAACTTGGAATTTCATGGACATGAAAGAAAACACCCTTTTACATAATGCTCTCTTGGGGTTGGCTAGGTCTGAGCGGCAGCTGCAGTTTCTGCTCAGACTAATAAAAAGGGGAAATTAATGAGAACGTGACTTTCGCCACACTGTTCTGTACAGTGCTTTAGTTAGCCCAGGCTGGTGTTGGGGTGGGCGACGCATGAACATGGAGGAACCGGGTTTTCTTAAAGCCTCATTGAAGACTCTTTGCCAGATAAGTTGCTTGTCCAAAGCCACAGTATAAAGGGCTCTGATGATTTTTCAGCAAACAACAAAGTAGACATTCTGCTTTAGAGATTCATATACATGGTGACCTTTTCCACTTCCTTCTTATTTTTAGCGGCCAATCACTGTTTGCTAAATGACTGTTTAATTCTACAGTTTAGTATTTATTGGCTACAATTTTATTTTGATGCTGCTCGAGGCAGTAAAAAAATTGTTTGCAGTCCAAATTATTAATCTGTATACTGTTTCCTCTGCTGTACACACAATGCCACTTGTTCACTTTTTTTTAATATCAAGTTGGATATCTTTTTTCTTTGTTTCATCATAACCTCAAAAAACACCTTACAAAGAAGTCAGTAAGTTGTTCTTAATCTATAATTTTTAATCTGAAAACCAAGAAGAAAAACATCTACAGTGTTTCTCAGAATGGGAAACTTGCCTCATTTTGGTGAATTGAAGCCTGTTCATTCCAGTTGTGAACACATTCCCATATTTCTATTTAATTTTGTATCCAAAACAATGGTGACAAAGAATTCTATGGTGATGTTTCCAAATGGTTACTGCACACCTGGTTTAAAAAGCAAACCAGGACACAGGAAGTTCACATCAGGGTGGCTTTTGCCTCTTCAATTTGGAGTGTTTTGGAGGGGTTGGAAGTAAGTAATGAATTAGCTATTTTTTATGAACTATTTTGATAAGCTAATATTTAATATCACAATGTAATTCTGTTTTGGTGGCAGGTGGCTCGGCGTTGGGGCATTCAGAAAAACAGGCCAGCTATGAACTATGATAAACTTAGCCGTTCTCTCCGCTATTATTATGAGAAAGGTATCATGCAAAAGGTGAGCAGCTAATACAGCATTAGAATTCATTGAAATGTTGTACATAAATCTGCATGTTATACTTTAAAAGCCACATGTTATTGCATTGCTGAAGCAAGGTTTTCAATCACTTTAACATATGCCGGGTTCTTGGTTTGGCACCTTTCTAGTTACAAATTTATGGGCATCATAACAAATATGTAATAATATATACACAGTTAGTAGACTTACTGGGAGCTCCCATTTTACTGTGTTTACTAAAAAAGGTTGTTCTTGTACTAATATTGTCTGTATAGATCCCCACAAGTTATCCATCTTCAACTATATTCTCAAGAATTATATAATTTTGAAATGCTCTTGCTTTTAGTTTCTAATACCAACTGTATTCTTACTTTTTACTCCTTATTCTGATTCTTAAAGCATGTAGAACATTTCTTGTTCTCATGCCAAAAGACTTATTTTTCTTGCCTGAAATTCCTCGTTTTCATTACCAGCTAGCTTAATATTCTAAATCCCTTATTAAGAATAAGTATTTGATCTTATTTTATTGGTAGAATGAAGTTAAATTTATATTTTATTTCAAATGAGCTTCCCTTAATATTTGAAAGCAGCTTTTTAAAAAAAGAATGAGAAAAAACAAATGAGTTATATTTAGAACATACTGCAAAATTTTTGAAGAAGGAAATGAATAAATAAAGATAAAACACTTGGATATTTTCTATGATTACATTTCCATCCTCACATGTATATTCAATTTAATTGTCTTGACTAAGTTTACAATTTACCCATTGTTTTCATTGCAGTTTTATTATGCATCCTTTGGGAGGATATAAACATAGTTATACATTACAAATGTGGCATATTTTTATGTTGCCATAATGCAGAGAAAAACTAGACCAGTTGCTACATGAAACTTACCAGAACAGAGAGCAATAGCATCATTGAGTTTCCTGGACCAAAGGAAATCAGTGCTCCAGACTTTGCCAGCTTCGCAGTTAACACTTCCAAAACCCTTAACAGATAAGGCTGAATTGGATTCACAATGGCTTCCCATGGCCCTGAATCTCACCTTCAAAATACATAACCATTTCCTACCTGCTCCTTCAGTCTTCTCCAACTCCACTATGGGGTCATTTTTAATTCCTGCCTTTCATTCACCACTCCCATTTGCAGCCAAATCCTTTCAGAGACATTGCATTCCTTTCATTTTCATCACCCTCTTCGCAGTTTGGGCACATCATGTGGGCTGCACAGTAGGTGGTTAGCTGGCACCCCCAGCAGTGTTGCTCAGCAATGAAAGAAAATGCAGTCATGTTCTAGGTGTGCAGGTAGCTTCTCACTGGATCACCTTTTTGAGCAGGTAGCTAGCTTCTCTTACTAAATGGTGTATTCTTACCTCAAATTTACTACAAGTTTTAAATGAAAATTGATGATTTGAGACACTAGCATTGTACATGGTATAATAAAAGTTGTCAACAAATAGAAGCTCTGAAAGCATCTCAGAGCAGAAGCCAGTGTAAGCCAAGATATATTTATTCGGCTTTTGTGTCTTGAGTCTTATGCCCCTTATTAAAATGAGTACTCACAAAGGGCCAAAACATATTATGAGATCTCCAATCACACCTCAGCTTTTAGACAAAGTATTTGACAGGCTGTCATCCCTGCTCTTAAATATTGTCAAAGGTGTTCAAACTTCTTATTCCAGGTTCATATTTATTTATCCAGTTATCTTATATCCTATTTGTTTCTCTCTTATTTTAATAAATTACCAAGGCAAGATACTATCAAATAATCAAATGGCATACATGTTGAAATACAGGTAAAAATGTAGCTCCTCACATTTTTTCCATTTTAGGCTGTAAGTTGCCAGAGGAACTACTTGTAACTCTTCATTTACTGGCTAATATAGGACAGCAAGGTGCTGTATGTGACATACTCTATCAGGTGTTGCTGTTTAATGTATTGTAAGAAAGGGTGGGTCATTTAATGAAACATGCACAAGGTGAAGTGTACTAGTGACTAGCACAATGGAGGCTCTTTGCCGTTCTTAGGGACATATATATACTCTCCCTGCATGTGTTGGACCGTTCTACTGGAGGCTGTTCCCACACGACTCCTTCATTGCTTCATTCATTGTTCCCACCTTCTAGAATGTCTTGCCTTCTCATCTGTACCTGTTACCATATGTACTAGTCTAATGGTTCAGTAAGTTCTACTGTAGTCATTCAGAGGGAAAATATGCTGTTCTTTTTTATAAACACTGCAATGTAGAATTATATATTTTGTGTGTAGGATATGTTCATGTGATTGAACTTGTTGAGACTTAAAAATTATGTGTGTATGTGGTGTATATATAAAAAAGAAGGATTAGAAAATAAAAATAAAGTGGACATAAACATGTAAAGATACTCATTATTTCCACAGTTATGAAAGAAATAGACAGTGGAATAATATTGTATCCCATAGAGTGTGTATGTGTGTATTGCTATTTCAAAATTTAGAAAGACCTAGAAAAGTAGATAACAAAAGTATTAATAATGGTTATGTTTGAATGATATAATGATGAGTCATTATTTATTTTGGCTTCATCTGTAATTTTCCTTCGGTATCCCTGTGTTCTAAAATTTTAACAGTTAACAATATAAATATCTAGTCTTTCAAAGCACCGTGCATAAGATACCTCCTGTTTAATTCCAATTCATCCCCCCTGCAAAATTCATGTTTTATCTGTCTCAGCATTACGATTTGGGCATAACTGTATTACTAACACTAGCATGTGTAACTCCCCCACATTGGTTATGAGCCCTTGTGAACTCTGCTGCATTTAACATAGTCTAATAAATGTAGTAAGAGCCCTGAAAATGCTCATTCCAAAAAAAACTTGGAGTAATGAGTCAAGGCAAAGTCCTTAATGGATTTTATAATCTTGATTGCACGTTATACACTTAATTCCCCACACTGACTTATCAAATGATTTCTACTTATAACCAATCAAAAAGGGTTGAACAAAAAAGCTTTAGAAGACAAAAGCAAGTACCTTTTTCCCCATATCCCCAACAAAAGAAAGCAGGTTACTAAATGAGATATGCAAGCTATTTATTTCATTTTTTTCTCAGGAACTTTGAACAAAGGAAAAGGTGAAAACTAGGATTTAGTATCTTAGCTTTGTTTCTGATATTGCCTATTTTTATTTGTATGATAATTTTACCACTTCACCTTTATGAACTTAATTTCCTCTTTATAAAGGACCAAAGTGAATAAATTTATTCCAGGCTTCTCTGATTTGCCATGCAGTGTACCAGAGACTTCTATCTCAAACTCCCAGTTTTCTCCATCTCTCCCCCCCCCCCCCCCGCCTCTCTCTCTCTCTCTCTCTCTCTCTCTCTCTCTCTCTCACACACACACACACACACACACACACACGCACGCACGCACGCACGCGCGCGGAACTGAGGGCAGTTTAAGAAATACATCCAGCCCAGCCAGGCAATTCAGGTAGAGTATAGTCCTAATTTGCCCAGGTTGTAGGTTCAATCTCCTGTCAGGGCACAAATAAGAAGCAAGCAATAAATGCATAAATAAGTGGAACAGCAAATCAATGCCTCTCTCTGTCTCTATCTTTCTCTCTCTCACTAAAATCAATTTTAAAAAATTTTTAAAGAGACATATCCAAATTCATACAAATTGAGTACTGCTTTCAACCTAAGAATATTCCGAAATTTTGGATTCTCTGCCTTGTTTCCTCTTCCAGGGTAAACAAATCCAAGACAAAAAAGTCTCTCTCTGAGCCGAGAGGAGCAGTTCGCTTTGGTAGTGGCTTCTTCCCAAATATACACAGAGTTCATAAACCACGAGCTCACTGCTGCCCCGTAACACAAAGCAACTAGCAGTGCCTATTTGATGCTTAGGAACCCAGAGGTGATTTTCAGCTTCCTAAAGTTACTGAATTATAGATATACCCAAAAAGTTACTATCAAAGAATTGCATTGATCTTTACACCACCCTGTCCCTGGTTTTGAGAGAACCTCAGCATGCTTTGTTAATGGTAGTAGGAGATAGGGGATTATATTTGTTTTGTTCAATTGTTTATAATTTTCTATAGAAGCATCAGTCTTCAAAGTTTAAGTTTGGGACATGTCATTCCCTACAAATTATGCTACTCCGTTATTTCAAGCAGCTGTCACATTTATTTTTCTCATTTCCTCCTTATGCATTGTGCACTTCAGATTCCTTTCACTTTTTTACACCTCTTACTTCAATTTGACACTTTACACATGTCCTTAACTTCTGTCTAATGCATCTTGCTTTCATTTTTAAAAGTGATGTACCCAGGATAATGCAGTCCTCTTGATCCATCTTTCATTTAAATAAGGCTATGTATCTTTTTTTCCTCCTTTGATAAGAATACACAGTGGGGGGGGGACCAGTTCACCCTGTGAATCAGTGAATTCACTAATCTAGTCTTATTAAGGAACACATTTTTCTTTGAACATTTGGAAGTTTAGGTTTTCTATGGTTTCACAAATATAGTATTAAGAGGAGACTCTACACCTTAAAGGTCTGATTATATTTTGAGATATTACTTTTTAAAACAGGAAAAAAAACATTCAGTGTCAGATGCCTGCGTGAAATGGTTAATCTCCCCCCTCCCCGACAGATAACAATGTAAATTTCCATTTACATTAAAACAAGCTAACTGCTCGGCTTTCTAACTATATCTGGAATGGATATAAATATTAGTCAGGGGCAATATTTTGCAATTTATTTCACAAAGTAAAAACTTTTTTCCTGTCACCTGTATCTCCTAATACTCGGTGGCTTTTTCTTTTGTTGCCCATCATTTCTGAGGTATTAAACCATGCTTTGGTTCTTTTCCTTCCCTGTCCTTCATCATCTGGGGTAGTGAGGACGTATGCGGTGGGCGTATGGAGGTATAATTGACATAGAACATTGTATAAGCATCAGTTATGCAACGTAATGATTCGGTATTTGTAAGTCTCATGAAATGATCCCCACGGGCAGCGTGGTTAATACCCAGCAGGGCATACTTAAGGACGGGCGTTTCTCTTCCCTGTGTTCACCAGGTGGCGGGGGAGAGATACGTCTACAAATTCGTGTGCGACCCAGAAGCCCTCTTCTCCATGGCCTTTCCGGACAACCAGCGCCCGCTGCTGAAGACGGACATGGAACGTCACATCAACGAGGAGGACACGGTGCCGCTGTCGCACTTCGACGAGAGCATGGCCTACATGCCGGAGGGGGGCTGCTGCAACCCCCACCCCTACAACGAAGGCTACGTGTACTGACGCCGGACAGCCCAGCAGGGCCTCCGCACTCGCCCCCTTTTCGGAAGCTGCAGAGAATCTGAATTCTCTTCCATCTTTGTTTGATTTCTGTTGTTTGTATTTTATTTTTAAATAATAATACACAAAAAGGGGCTTTTCCTGTTGCATTATTCTATGGTCTGCCATGGACTGCGCACTTTATTTGTGGGTGGGTGGGAGGAATCTAAACACTTACTCTGTGTAACAGGAAGGTAACGGGTGAATGGGCGGGGGAGGGGGGCTGGGGGATTCCTTTTTACTTTGGCTTGGGAAGGGGTCCTACAGGTTTTAAGTATGATGAAGCTATATCATGTTTCTTTGATTTCATAACAACATGAGAAAATGTTCATTTCTTCCGGGTATCTACGGTACAGTTAATTCACGTTGTGTAAATATCCGCTTGGAGACTCTCTGCCTTTGGGCATCTTCCCCTGTCATTTCTGCGTCTCTGCAGGGTGTCCAAGAAAAATGTCAGTTCAAGTGTTAGAAATGACTGTTTTTGCACCTCTTGTATTTAGAGATTGTATTTGCCGGGTTTTGTTTTGCTTTATGTGTGACTCACAGAGGAGGACCATAATATGGGTAATTCTCTCTGAAGTTCAGTAATCACCGTGACTGTAAATGAGGGGCACACTTTTGGACTCTGGCTCCAAACTGAGTCACAGGCCAGTAGCATTACGTGTATCTGGTGCCACCTTGCTATGTAGACACAAATCATACTGTTGTTTCAATATTTTAAAGCCTGTTTCAGTTGAGTAATGGTACATCATGGTCCTTGAGATCTTCATTTACATGTTAAATCTGGGATCACCATGATGCAAAAAAACCTGTCTTTTCACTTTTTTCAGTACGTAAAAATATTATTTAATCAGTAAGAATTAACTGTACTAAATCACATATTATGCTGTTCTAGATACAGCAAGCACTCCTTAAGAAAAATATCCAGTACACTAAATAGGTACTATAGTAATTTTTAGAGATGGTACCCATTGATATGCATCTAAATCTTTTACTGCTGTGTTATGTTGATAACATATAAATATTAGATAATGCTAATGCTTCTGCTGCTGTCTTTTCTGTAATATTCTCTTTCATGCTGAATTTACTATGACCATTTATAAGCAATGCAGTTAACTACACATAGCATTTCAGGACAAAATAGATGACTCAAACCATTTATTGCTTAAAAACTAGCTTACGCCATGCTATGCTCTAAGCAGCTTTTATGCACATTGACAAATGAAGAGTAAGCTTCAGCTTGCTAAGGGAAACTGTGGAAACTTTTGTAACATTCAGTGACATGGAAAATTATTTACAGACAGTAGATAAGGAAGTTGCTGTGTGACATAGTGCTGGCACTGAGATGATCTGTCCCTCGTCTTGTTTTGGACACGCATGTGATTGCATTGTCTGAAAGAAGATTTTTTAAAGTTTCAGAGGTTTTCGTTTTGTTTTTCTTTTGCATTTGGAGAAAATATTTAAAACAGGATATGTTGTACCATTCACCTTGAAAAAACCACAAGTAAAGGGTTTTATCGTATCTCTAAATAGCTTGCTAAATGACTCAAGCAAGAAATGTGAGTTTGGTTCAGTCCACCAATATCTTAAAGGGACGACATTTTTTAAAGAGTGTATATCAAAGTGTTCAAAAAAAAATCCCACACAAATCCGAAATCAACCTCAGAAAGCACTTCACCGAGTACAGGACAGATCGTGGGAAGATCCGTCTCCTGGCTGCCCATTTTCCCACACATCTCTAAATTGAACAGCTATTGGCAGACCCACATACCATAATCACTATTATTTATATTTAATCCCACAAAAAATCCTAATTTCAGTATATATGTATGTAACCTGTCATTTCAATAATTATTCCACACATGCATTATATATCATTAGGCCCACTGTGGGCTAAGAAGGATGCCTTAAAAATCTGAACTTTTATCCCCCTCACTTTGCTCATGTGGCCATTTACTAAAAACAAATTTTAAATTATTCAACTAAATTTATACTGGAAAAAGAATTGACATATTTGAAGAAATTGAAAGTGGGTCTTTACAATATGATCTAAATGAAAATGTATTGAGGATTCTGTTTCTATTTTCTCTCTTTTTTAAAATTCTCTAGTTTGCCAGTGGGGAAGATTTGGGCTATGAGTTATCTTAAGAAATCAAAGGAAGAATCAGTTTCACTTATATAATATTTAAGACAAACTATATATTTTGCTGTTTAAGGTAGTGACTCACTGAATGAAATAATTGACCAACATTAAGGTATTTCCAATACAGAAGGGTTTAAAACATTGCATTATAAACTTTTGGGAAATGTATATAAAATTTTTTTAAGTTCTGTTTTCATTCTACTTTTTGTTTGGTTGTGTTTTTATTTTCAGATAGATTAATAAATCTGGCAGCTGATTTCTGCAAGATTCTTGTGTTCTGAATTTCTAACTGAATTGGCTACTCCTACACAGAAATCCATTCATAATGTAACATTTCCCTTCAACTTGGTAAGAGTCACTGAAAGAAATATCTCCCCTAGTATTTGCTTCCTCTTGATGACATGCTAATACCCAGCAGACTAATTCCAACAAAGAACGTTAAATCCCATATAGCTAGTGAAAAATATTTTTTTCTTAAATTATGCCTATTAAAAGTGCTTAAATAAAAATCTGCAAGGCTGACAGTGCAGAGCAATGTTCTCAAATAATAGAAGGATCTGGGAGGTCATTTAGTGAAATCTTTTTATGGATTGCACAGGCATACCTCGCTTTATTGCACTTTGCTTTATTGTGCTTCACAGGAGTGGCACTTTTTACAAACTGAAGGCAAGACCCTCCACCAGCAAAAAGATTATGCCTTGCTTTGCTGAGATGCTGGCTTTATTACAGCGGCCTGGAATGGAACCTGCAATATCTCCGAGGTATGCCTGTATTAGTTTCCCGTAGATGCTGTAACAAATTAACCACAAATTCATTAGCTTAAAGTAGCACAAATTTACCCTCATAGTTCTGGAGAGCAGAAGTTCGAAAAGAGTCTAAAAGGGCTAAAGTCAAGATGTCTGCTGGGCTTGTTTCTTGGGAAGGGTCCAGGGGCCAACTCCATTCTAGCATCTTCCACTTTTAGAGGCCGATGACAGCTCCCCTGGCTTTTGACTCCATCACTCCAATCTCTTCTTTTAAAAAAAAAACACTAAATTTTTGGGGGTAACATTGGTTGATAAAATTATATAGGTTTCAGGTGTACAAGTCTAACACATCACCTGTATATTGCATTGTGTGTTCTCAATCTCTGATTCTGTGGCCACATCTCTTTCCCCCCTACTATAGTCAATTTGTCTTCTGCTTCCTTCTTATAAGGACACTTGTGATTACATTTGGGGTCCACCCAGATAATCCCAGGTGATCTCCCCATGATCTTTAAATTAAGCGCATCTTCAAAGTCCCTTTTGCCAGATTAGTTATCATTCACAGATTCCCGTGGTCAGCACATGGATATGGGGGTCAGGGGGCTGCTGTTGCTCATCCCACCACACAGGTGAAGATGCTGTATAGTAAACACACTGATTGACTTACCTACAGACAGATGCGTTCTAGTGAGTGAACTATGATTAGAAATTATTGAAGAACATTTTTGTGTACCATCGAGACAGTTTCACTCTGCAGAAACGGTACCGAAGGCCTTCTATATTAAAGCTCACCCATTCCACCAAAGTAATATCTGGTAATTGCGTCAAGCTGTTCGATTGCTTAATTCCCTTTCCTGTAAACATGTAATGAGAGGGGGACAAAAAGGCGTGATCATTACAGAGTAGTAGCACAGTTAATTGTGTTGTCCAAGCCAGGTATTTTTAAAAATACATTTCTTTTGGTGCTAGCATGAGTTGTTACTATGCAATCTTAATATCAGCAACTGATTTCTATTAGGTATGAATAATGTATAGAATATCTTTGTTACTAAAAAGAACAATTCTGAAATATGAGTCAACTTATCTTTCTATGACAAGGAAAGAAACCTGTCACCCAATATCATTGCATTTGGCTAGATCATAGGAGCTGTAAAAGGAGCCACTCGGTCTGCCAGGCAGCATTTTCAGAGCTGGTAACAGCAACAACATTGGAGAGGAAACCAGTCGCGTGCTTCTCACTTGGTATCTTGAAAGACAAAACCTAAAACTGAAAAATAAGAGGCGAGCTTGAGCTATTTTCCAGTTGCACTTTGATATGAAGAAGGGAAAAAATAGAGTTATTTTAAAAACCATAGAAATTAGATAAAAATAATGGAAAAAGTTAAAGAAGGCAAATGGACATATTGTGATAAGACGTGTGTAAAAGCTAAGTTTCCATGAAGTATCAGTGGTAGACATGACACTGAAGAATCTGGCAAATTGACTCAGAATGCAACTAGTACTTCTAGTTGCTTCTAGGACTTGACTTTTTTTTTTTAAATAAACATGATTTATTTAGAAAAATGAGTTTATGGAAAAAATACAGTTTAAGAAGAGAGAATTTGATTAGAGTAGTGACTGCCTTTATAGAAATATTGATAATTTTAGAATGTTCAATTAAAAGTATATATAGAATACCTATGGTTTTTCAAATGATCTGTAAAATAGGTTTCTTTTTTTGCATATAGGCTCTAATAATCTTATTTACTTTCATTCTAAAATTATATTTATGTTTCTATGGGAAAAATTTTAATTCACTTGGATGTATTAAGATTATACGTATGGTTTGAGAAAACGTGCTATGAAATTTATGTAATTATAGCAAAATAAATATGCTCAAAATTTAAATCTAAAATAAAAGCCCAGAAACTGAAAATACTGGACTATCGTGATCACTCTGGGAGATGGCACATTTTAAAACTGATAAATGTAGTCTAAATTTTTGACTTGCTTCTAATCATCTGAAACATCTTAATCATTTAATTTGTGATCAAAGCACTTGAATACTGTCTTTACTCCTATCCATTCCCAGGTATTATTCTCTTGTAACAGGTTCCAGGATACCTAATAAAATGTTTTCTAGTTCTATATTCTAATCCCTTTAAATACTTTTAAAAGATCTCTTCAGTAAATGTATCAGAAAGAATTTTTGGTAAATGAGCTATCTAAATTATTTCAGTGAGTCCCATCTGCCCTCCGCCATGACATACGGTGCCGACCTCATCACATCAATGGTGTCTGAATGGCAAACCAAACTGTCGTTGTGTCAAGGTCACCTGGTCAAGGGCAAACATGCACCTTTTTTGTATGAGCGACCTAGCTACTTTCTTGTTTTAGATTCTTAATGAGTTAAAAATGTATGTAACAATGGCTCACATTTTGTTTACAGTCTTACTTAAAATTTATTTCTTTAACCACTTTGAATAGTCTTTATAGAAAAATATTTGAAAAGGTCATTTTGGTAACCACCTTATTGGATGTTTTAAAAACAATTCAATTATTCATGAACAGATAGAAAGAGCCCCTTAAAAAAAGCCATGTGAAACAGTGAACTGATCTGCATTTGTGTTTCTTTAGTTTGAATTGAGGAATTTGGTTAATGTATCAAAAAGACACAAACATACCAATGCTATACTTAAACTCTTTTAAGGCAGCGGTCATTTCAGATGACATTTGTGGAAAAAATTTACAAACAGAAGCATGCTGGATTTAATAACAGTATTTAATTCATGTGAAGTGAGGCTACCGAGATAAACTGGGAAACCCTCTCCCACCTCCACACCATATTTTTAGTCTGAGAACTGGGAACTTCCTAAATTGAAACAAACCAAATATTATTTTGTGACTTTTCAAATCTCTTATACGTTCCTTTTAAAGTCTATTCCTTGAAATACAGCACTTAGTCACATACAGATGAAGTTGACTTTTTTAGAGTCATTCACTTATGGCAGACACTTTTAGTTTATTATTGCAAAGGCAGTATCTGAAGAGGTTTCTATTATTTACTTTTTTCTCAGATACAAAATACTAGGCGCAAATATGATACATTCCAAATTTGTTGACTGTTTACTTGTCTCATGAAGAGCAGGTTTTGCAGGTTTGAATAGGAGATGTTACAAATAATCCATAAATTTGTCATTTTGATTATTTTACATGCTTACCTCTGAAATCCAGTATCAAGAAAATGATGAGATATTTTTAACTGAAAAAGAAAAAAAAAACTTCTTCCCCAGAATTTTCTGTTTATTTTCACAAAAATTTGTGATTATGTAGAAACCCTTGAGGCAATGTTTCTAAAATTAAAACAGGGAGAAATATGAAAATAAATATTTGGATAATTTAGATCACAAGGAAGAAATACACTGCACACTGATTTATTAAGTAACTCATACTAGAACAGACTTTGGATTATTCATTTCAATTTGTTTTATGTTGGAAAATCTATTGATCTAATCTTTCAGAATTCTCATATATGAGTATTCTACAAATTAGTACTAAATACTGCTTTAAAAAATCAGTAGATTATGTATGTTCTGCATCCAAATTACTCTCCTCACCCTAATAGTTGGAGTAACCCATGTGAATCTAACAATACTGAAGAGAACTATATAATGTGGTCTAATAATTAGGCTGCAGTATGTCATCATTGGGTACATAGACTATTCAAAAGGAGCATGATAAAGTATACTATGGACAGTGGGAAGCAGGGACACTTTTATTCAAATATAATAATTGTTTAATTCCAACCATGTACTATAAAGTAAATCATTTAGTTAATCAGTAAATACGAGTCCATGTGGTCCACAATACAGGAGGGTGTTGAAAATGTTGCTAAATGTCAAGGCAGGACTGACTGCTGAGCCAATAACTTCTGGACTCAGTGAAAACACTGACGGAATGCTGTGCACCTGTACCTGCTGGGATTCCTCACTATGTTAGCGTCGAATGGCTCCAAGCACCAATAACCAAGAGGTTTTCAAAGCCAAGGGCCCCATTTTGTAGATTCTATAGCTACCATTTGTAACACACCCTAGCAATGGACCTCCTGTTCCCAACCTGCTTATGATATTCAAAAAGGGCAATAGAGAGTGCAGTATCTGTCTCAGGTATTCTAGTCCTTGACCCATTCTATCCAACAGTTCATTGCAGTGACTATTGTAAAGCAGGAAGCTCCTAAGTTGATACTCACCCAAGTATCCCAATTTGCATGGGACAATACACCTATGTTGTCCCTGCATTTTATTAACAGTGCTCAATTTTACTCTCAAAGTTTGGAAAACAAATTTACTCTGGTACCCTAGCTCAGAAAGCCTGGTTAAAATGCTGTCCTCAGTTTGCCTCAAATGACCACCTTTAGAGATTGAGACATCATACCTTCCTTTCAGAACAGATATCCCAGACAGGGAGACTTTCCTAGACCTGACGAAATTAACCCGTTCCCCCTCTCTTCCATACCTGTGGTGGCCCACCATAGTTGTCCTAAATTTTACTCGTCATATTCCTGTATCTTATATTTTATCAGTCAAGGAATGGTGGAAGTTTATAAGAATAAGAGATGTAGCCATTTATCTGGGTTTTCATGAAGCTCAAGTGGGTAGATTTTAAGGTTTATGAACTTTAGATATGTCCTCATGAAATCGAACACACCATGACTCTGATTGTCTTCAGTGGCAAAGGAGCTTACTACAAGGATAGTGAGTAGATCATAAAACTTATGGAAATAATAAATAACTGAGCTTAAACAAATCCTAGTAGCAAGAAATAATCATCAATCTGTTCAGGTCACTGTCACTGAAATCAGTAATTACCAACTACCTTTTGACTCTTGCATCGCTTTGCTCCATCATTGGAGCCCAGAAAAAGCACCCAACACTTTGCCCTGGTTTGTCCTCACTTCTTTCTTGTAAAATAGGATGGGTTCGTTCTTACAGTGCCATCAAGGCCTGGTATGAAACGGGAAGGAATTCACTTAAATAATTTGCAAGTTAAAAAGAAATAGAAGAGCCTGCTTGGTGTCCAGTCTCTTTCAGAGCCCCTAAAAATAGTATAATCCATCTTTAGAATGGGAAAACTGCTGAATGTAGGATGTCCTTTTTGTTCTTCCATTTTCTGCAAGACTGCTTTGATTCCTATAAGACCTTCAAGCCGCTGATGTGGTACATGTGTGTGAAAGAAATTATGAAGAACAGGACTAATGAGAATAAAACAACGTGACATTATTCACACAGGAAAAATAAAGTATTAGTTTGCTAGGGCTGTCAGAACAAAGTAGTGCAAATAGGGTGGTTTAAATAGCAGCATTTATCTCAAATTCTGGGGACCAGGCATCCAAAATCAACGTGTTCGCAGTGCTCGTATCGACTGAGGGCTGGGTTTGTTCCACGCCTCCTCCTCCTCAGTTGGCTTAGTTGGCTTTCTTTCCTTGTGCCTCTTTACATCCTCTTCCCTTTGCCTTTGCCTCTGTACCCAGTTCCTCTTTTCAGAAGGACACCAGTCTCATGGAATGAAGGCTGACTCTATGACCTCATGTTAACTTACCTCCATAAAGACCTTGTCTCTAAAGAAGGTCGCATTCTGAGCTGCAGCAGTTAAGACTCCACAGATGTTTTGTGAGTGAGGACACAGCTCAACCCATAACAGGATTGTGGATTATAATCAAGTGAAAGTAAAATAATCTATTAAAGTGAAATGTCTTACCTATTACATGTGAGATTCAGATTTAAGAGATAAATTACAGCTTTATCTTCATTATATTACATAACTAATATGGATACATTGTACATAAATAACCAAATCATTGCCTTATATTCTCAATAGAGGTGTTTGAAATCAGTTTTATTCTCATAGTCTTCTTGTCCACCAGTTAACACTTTTCCTAAGAAGATGTCATAGAAAATAGAAGAGGATTACTCCTATAATAAGTGTAATGAAAATCTAAATTTAAAAAGTTTAGGGGTAGTAAAGGGGAAAAACAAATAATATAAAAGCAGGAAAGAGGAACATGGTACCATAATAAGACTAGTGTGATCTTTCTGTTCTCTGGTTTTTAGTACCTAGACACTAGCTATGTGCCAGAAAAAAAAATCTATCAACAAAAACATTATAGACTTTTCCGAGCCAAAACGAGAACTTACATGAGGAAATTTGCATTGAGCACTACTTATCATTTAAGCACCATTGAGCAATAAGCAGCATGGGTTTACATAGAACAAATCATGCCAAACAAATCTGATTGCTTTTTTTATTGAATTACAAGATTAGTGGATGAATGCAATGTGGGAGATGTAATACATGTGGATCTTAGCAAAACATTTGATACAGCATCTCATGAACTCTAAAATGAATTCAGATCATCAGGAATATTAACACTGGGGTGAGGAAGAGAAATTAAATGAAGGATTGCAAAGAAAAAGAAGTAATAATCAACTGTGATATAGCAGCTTGGGAACACATCATTATAAGGTGCTACAGTGATCACAGGGTTTATTCAGCACATATTAAAATTCACACGACTTTCTCAGACTTGAAAGAAACAGAATAAAGCATTCTGAATGCACTCCATGATTTCAGACATTATATACAATCCATTCAGATTTAGAGGAA